TTTCGAGCTTAAAGGGACACTGTAGTCACTAGAACAAGTAAAGCTTAATGTAGATATTCTGGTGAGTATAGTCAATCCCTGTAGGCTTTTCCAGTCAACACCGTGTTTTACATTACAGTCTAGGGACACCTTCAGTGGTTACTCCTCAGATGGCTACTCTGCAGTGTTGACATTGTGTCTCCACCTTCTGCATGGAGAAGCTGAACTTTCCTTGTAGAGATGCATTGATAAAATGCATCTCTGATGAGATGCTGATTGACAAGGGTGGTGTTTGGTTTTGCCCCCAGCCTGTCTCCGTGGCTGAGATAATCAGAATTGACAATATCAGCCAATCCAATGCTTTCTTATGGGAATGCATTGTGATTGGCTGAGATCATCACTTCTGATGATGTCAGCAAAGCAGGCAGATTAGGGGCAGAGCCAGCACTAGCAGATTGGAAGATAACATTGTACTATATTTAGAGGGGCTATGGGGTCTGGAATACATGTTAGTGTTCCTGATCCTATAGTGTTCATTTAATGCCGAGTAGTTGAACTTCTCCAATATCTGGGGATTTACTGTTTTACCATCCCTGACTGATGTTGACTCTCAGGCAATAAGGTAAGCTCTGCGTTGCCAAGCTTGGCTCAGGCAAAGAGCTTCTAGCTCTCCAGTTAGCAGCACACAAAAGACCTTAGTTTGAATACTTACAATGGGGGTGGGGGATAGGCCAGTCTTGGTACCATAAACACTACTGCACATTGTAGTGGTTTTGATTTTTGGCATATTCCTTTAATAATACATTTAGCTAAAATACAAACATTTTTGTATCAATTTGAGAATGCATAAACTCAAGCATTTTTATAATTTGTTGGATAAGCTGCTTTCCTGGTGTCCTTCGGAACAGTTCTCTGTTTATGTTAGCCCTGTGTATATTTGATTGTTATGATACCACATCTAATGTGCCATTCTTCCTCGTATAAATAATTACATTGTTTCTAGCCCTTCTTTCATTCCGATTATTCCTTTTGTTGCCCTTCTATCCACTTTCTCTATTTCAACATTTAATAGCATTTTCAAGGTTCCTTAAACTCGTAGATTTCATTTTCATCATGTGGATGCATGACATACTTTGCTAGTGTTTGGAACTGGTTGGTTGTATGCAGCTGCAGATTTGGCAGTACAGTCCAACATTTGGGCTCCTTTTTCACCTCCCCTGGCTTGTTCTCTGTGGTCAGAAAGGGCAGTGCAAGCACATCATCAGACATGCATAGATGCACCAACTAGAATCACAGTATTATGTTTATAAGCGAGCTCTTCAGAAGTGTTCTGGATATAACCCTTTTTTTGAGAGGATCTGACTTGGCCACATAGTCAGAGTGGATCAGTATAGTGCATGTCCGTGATGCTGTACAGATCACTTACACCTGTGTTCTTCATTTTACAGCCCAATGTTGGGAATTATATGCCTTTATAGTTGCGAATCTGTTTATAATTATTTGATTAATAATATCCATAATACAGGTAATTCCCCTCATAATTTTGCTTTTATCTTCACTGAATCTCATCTGTATATGTCTGCCCAGTCCCCAAATCTATGCAAAGAGAAGGACCATCCTGTGCAGACAGTTCTCTTTAAAGGTCAAATATACAAAAATAAGTCCTGCGCTAAAACACCCATTGCTCCTGGACGGCAGCAATGACCGTAGTACACATCAGCCCCAATACATACAATAAAAAAAACTAAGAAAAGCTACTCGTGCGCTATTTCTTTTTTTTTGGATCGGGCACAGCTTGCCCCCATATACAGTGAAGTATTCTTGCAGTCACTGATTCTCTGACAGCATACAAACTTGACCTTGACATTTGTTTAAAGCTAGACACAGAGATCTGGCAAAGAGGCATGGCCCAGGTGACCAGTGATGACTGTTGGACCAGAATCTCTGCAGCTTCCAGCAAGGTCAGAGTTTGCATAGCCACAGAGAACCGTTTCAGAGGGTCTCACTGGTATTTAGAACATGTAAGACTAAGCCACATATATCCCAACAGATCACCAGAGAGATACGTTCATATGTGGTGGTCTTGTTCTGTGATCTCACAAATCTGAGAAGCAATTTCTGTTTTTCTTGAGACTCCTCCTGGATGTCACTCTTGAACCCGACCCTTTGCTTGGCTCTTTTGCAAGCTCCTCTAAAGTCAGTCTTACTGTCATTGTAAATCAAGTAAGCGAGCATGCAGAGCTCAAACCAATGCTACCCTAAAAGTATAACAAGAGATTGCAGCATATTACCAGTCCTTAAAATGGCCAGGCTTATCGCAGGGTTTATAGTAGGCAAAAATAGCAAAGTCCGGATTCCAGAGGTTAAAAACCAAAACAAAAAAAACTCCAATGCTAGGTCGGATCAAGGAGTATGAAGATCAAGATAATCAGACAGATTGAATCGGTATAACAGGGTAACACCATAAACAAAGACTGTACTATTGGGAATCACAGAGAAATCAAAACATAGCATGGACACTGAGCAGAACAGGTCCTTTTATAGTTATTCCTGTGCTCCCAAATTGTGCATCTGCACCAGAATGACATAGGGCTGGTTGCGTTTGAAAATTGACAAGCTACATTGAAAGTACGTGAGCACCATTCTGCCTCAAAATATGTATAAAAATTGACGGAACATATATATATATATTTTTTTTTTATCTTCGTTTGTTCACTTTCTCATTTGCTTTCTTGATTTCTTTTGTCATTTTATTATATTTTCTTTGCTCAACATGTTTTTATCTTCTTCCTATTTCCTTCATCTCTCGATTTATTCTGAGTTTTGCATCCACCTATTTGGTGGATGCTATTTTTTTTTTTCAATTTATTTATTTTTTTAGCACTTTTACTCCTTCACAGAATACATTTGTTTGTTGAATGTGTTCTGCAAATTTTAGTTACACACTGACTGTTAGGAGCAGTATTATTGATACCTTGTTAGTTATGTATAAAAAGTGTCTTTCCCTTTTTGTTTGTATTTCTGACGCCTATAAGTGCCAAAACATTCCTTACAGTGTGTTTTGCATTATTTTGTTATCCTTTTCCATTGTGTTTATTTTTATTTTTTGTTCTTCTTGTATTTCTTTCACAAATCGGTTTCTTCCTATGTTTAACCCCTTAAGGACCAAACTTCTGGAATAAAAGGGAATCATGACATGTCACACATGTCACGTAGTCTTAACCCTGCAGTGTGAACATTGCAGGGTTAAGGGGACAGGGACGCTACACCCAGAGAGCTTCAATGATATGCACTAATGTGCGTGCTTTTAGTATCCCTTTAAATAAATAAATAAGTGTGTGTGTGTGTGTGTGTGTGTGTGTGTATGTATATATATATATATATATATATATATATATATATATATATATATATGTGTGTGTGTGTGTATGTATATATGTATATATATATATGTATATATGTATATATATATATATGTGTGTGTATGTATATATGTATATATATATATGTATATATGTATATATATATATATATATATGTATATATATATATATATTATTTTTTTTTTAACACCCCACTCCCCCCCAAAATGTATATACAGTATGTAAGGAAATGTACACTCGCACAAGTGGCTAAGTGAATGCGATAATTTTTATACGTAACACTCTATGTATTCTTGAATATTGACACTTAATCTGGTCTTTTTTTAACGTCTCTCAAATGTTCATAATATTCTTGAACTAGAATGGTTACTCACAAAAGTAACATTAAGATGGTAAGTAAATTTTAATTTATATGTTTGGGAAAATAGTTTTGTTTCTGGTGGGATTGGTGCATTACATTTTGAAAGGTGCAATCTAGGCATTATTAATTTTTAATCGTAGTTCACTGCATGCCGCCTCTTATGGTTCATTAAAGGAATCATGCTCTGAAGTTCAATTAGAAGCATTTCATATAACAGGGGGATTTTTACGATTACAATTTCACTACAGAGCCGGCGGAAAGAAAATGCTAAGTCAAATTCAGTGTCTCTTGCTTTAGGCCCCTCACTAAGATAACTTGCCATGCAAAATGAGGCCAAGGTTTCAGAATTCTGTAATAAAACACTAGCTACACACTCTCTACGACTAGATTTTTTTTTTTTTCTCTCTTAAACCACTGTAGTAATATGTGATAGAACTTTCTTTTTGCAATGTGGATATATATTATATACTAGAGTATAAGCCGAGTTTTTCGGCACATTTTTTGTGCTGAAAAACCCCCACTCGGCTTATACTCGAGTAAAACTTACATTGCCATAATACAGACCAGGACCGCCGGGCTCATTGCAAGCCCGTCTGTCCTATTGGGGGCTGGCAGCGAGCTGTTACTTACCTTCCTGCAGCTCCTGTCAGCTCCCCGCTCCGCTCTGCTCCCAGTGTAAATCTCGTGACACCCGCGGCCGTCAGAGTGTTGCCACGGGTTACCGTGGCAACGCTCTGCGCGGCACACAGACCGCGAGGTTAACACTGGGAGCGGAGCAGAGCAGAGCTGACAGGAGCTGCAGGAAGGTAAGTAACAGCTCGCTGCCAGCCCCCACCACTGCACATCCCATCCACTGGACCACCAGGGATTCACATAGCCCCCCCCCCCCCTTCCTGGCCAGGCAACAAGCAGGGAGGGGGGACAAAAAAATAAAATAAAAAATAATACAAATATTAAAATAAAATAATACAAATATTAAAATAAATAAAATAATATTAAAATAAAAAAAATAATAAAAATGCCCTCCCCTCTTCCAGTTTACACACACTACACAAACACATACTGCATTATATACACACACTGCATTCATTATATACACACACTCTAAATAAATATTCAATTAATGTAATTTTTGGGGGATCAAATTTTATTTAGAAATTAACCAGTAGCCGCTGCATTTCCCACCCTAGACTTATACTCGAGTCAATAAGTTTTCCCATTTTTTTTGTGGTAAAATTAGGGGCCTCGGCTTATATTCGGGCCGACTTATACTCGAGTATATACAGTGTGTGTGTGTACATATATGTGTGTGTGTGTGTGTGTGTGTGTGTATATATATATATATATATATATACACACACATACACACACATACACACACACACACACACACACACACACACACACACGACAGAGCAGTAGCTAATACATAACATTTTGCTACACAATTCAAGGAATAATATTGTACACAATCCAGCATGTCTGTTAGGCAGAGACCCATCATGGAACAAAGTATCCTGCTTGCTCCGTTCTACAGCGGTTTTTGTAGAAGAATACAAACTTGCAGATTAATGCACTAGAGCGAGCATAGAAAGAAGCAATAGCGTGAGGTGGCAGAAATAGATCAGATAGATGATCCATGGGGACATAGTCGGGTATGCCTTGTACAAAAGGTGTCCCAGGATGCCCAAATCTTCCCGAATTTGGATATGGTGTCAGTGGGTTTGTGGGCCATCTATTCAAATTGATAGGTTTTAACAAGGCTGATATCAGCGCTTGCAGAGGAGTAGTCGATTTAGATTCCCAGTGTTTGCCTACCCCCTTTTGTTTGTTCTAGTAGCTATGAGCACATGCAGTAATAAATAAATGTTTCTGAGGTACCTTTAGGCGGACACATGTACAACAGAAAGCAGTCTGGTTGGAGAGGCAACAAAAATCTTGTATATAAATTGTATAGACTGATAAGCTGTGAGAAGAGGGCAGTCCTAGAATACATGTAATAACATTCCAAGCTGAGCGTCACATCTCCATGTAGGATAGATGTGTGCTAGTCATGTAGGAACCACACACCATCAAACATTCCATTTTCGGTTGGCTTTCTGATGAGACATACATTTCGAAATACCATGCATGTTGGATATGATTCTAGTCCAGACATTGAGCACCTGCCGTTTTCCTATTGGGTTGTGTATGGAAGTTTAGAGATTGAATTATAAACTGTGCTAAATAGACAATGGTTTGGAGTTTATCTTTTGACCAGTGCATGACAAGGTCTCTTGGAGGCCCCTTTTCAAGAGAGTGGTTAAAGGAACATTATAGTCACCAGAACAACTACAGCTTATTGAATTTGTTCTGGTGAATAGAATCATTATTTTATTTTTTTGCTGTAAGCACTGTCTTTTAAGAGAAAATGCAGTGTTTACATTACAGCCAAGTGATAACTCCACTGGCCACTCCTCATATAGAGATCCTTCCTGGGTCATGGCTGCCTAAAATGCATTCAAACATTCAGTATCTCCTCCCTCTGCATGCAGACACTGAACTTTCCTCATAGAGATTCATCTTCAGTTCATCTCTACGAGGAGATGCTGATTGGCTAGGGCTGTGTTTGAATTGTGCTGGCTCTGCCCCTGATCTGCCTCCTTGTCAGTCTCAGCCAATTCTATGGGGAAGAATTGTGACTGGATAAGGCTACCACTTCTGCTGATGGCAGTAGGCAGGTCTAAAGGAAACAGGGACATTGCATGCAGCTGCATACTTGAATACAAGTAAGATTTCACTATTTTAGGGAGACATGAGGGGACCAGGGTGGCTAGATGGTGGTTTTAACCTTATAGGGTCAGGAATACATGTTTGTGTTCCTGACCCTATAGTGCTCCTTTAAGATTCTCAACTCGTAAATAGGTCTCTGGTAATCAGGAACATAGCTTTGCAAATGGTAGAACAGTTAAGGATGTAAACAATTAACTAACCTTATAGACAACAAAGGCTGATTAATGTATTAAAGCTAGATACAGAAAGATCATTGTTGGTTGTGTTCCAAAAGTGTTAGTTTGTAGAAAAAAAATTAGCACGATTTAACCATTTTACTGCTGACCACAGTGTGAATTCTGTGATCAGAGTGATCATACACTACTATTGCTCTGGATTTTTTTTTGCCCAAGGCACTTATCCAGCATTCCTAGGGATAGGACACTTATTGGTTGGATCTTTTACCCTCTCTCCCAACATCTGTTGTGCAACTATGCAACCTAAGATGCTCTTCAGCCATAGTTGATTGCCTTATGGGGTTCGTAGTTTCACATGGGCTTGGAAGCTACCTTCTCACGTTGTTTGACCAATTATGTAGATCACAACAGATATGTTCACACATGTATATGAAGTAATTTAAATATCTTGCAGGCCTGGCGTTTTGTTTATCAACAAGTGACATTAGAAATCATATGTAATTAAAAGAAAAGTATCCAAGTCACTGTGAATAGTGTAGATGTACATTTTCAAGACAGCTGAAAGATTACGTTTTTGAAACAATCTATGGATAAAGTTACAGACAATCTTACTTTTTTATCATTGAATTGCATTGTGCAAAATATGACCTCATGTGTGCAGTTACGTGGTTTGAAAACATTTTTAAAAACACTGTCTGCTCAGTTTTCTTTCTGTTGCCTCGTTATGTATTTAGCAAAATGGCATTTAATATCTTGGTGCTAATTAGACAGATGGATGATACTGAGATCTGTATTCAATGACAGAAGCCATTTTAAAGAGAACCTATCACAGGAAACAGCCTGCTCAATTTAAATAGACCCGTTTCTCAGTAGCATTAGTTCTGTAATTTTTAAAGGGGGCAGGGGGAGTATGCTCACACCATTCTTTCATACATTTATGGTATTGCTTTAATTATTTTGGCATATATTGTCAGCTGCTCATGAACATTGGAGATGATATAAGCAACATATGTACAGCTCCATATCATTTGCTTGGGCAGCAGAGTAGACTAAACAAGGGGTAGCCAAAAAGTAGCCCTAAAGATGTTGAATTGTAACTTCATTGGTGCTTTGGCATCAAGGGAGTTGCACTGCATCATGGAAGATGCCGTTCTGGAGCTGCTGACAATTTGCCAGGTCCCTAAATGATGTAGAACTGCAACTCTGCAGGGAGAGCCCTTCTAAAGTTAGAAGCCATTGAAAACCGGACTTTGAATTTGAAGAGTCCCATGAATGTGCTATACATCTATTTTCACATTGAATGTGATCAGTGTTAATGAGAATAGCAGGTGTTCAACAAGATACAGAATCAGTCCCCTTAACCCTCCCTATTTTTCCCATGCAAAGTGCACAGAGACTTTTATGAACATATACGTTTGAAACCGTAACCCGTGGTTCTAGGATCTTGGAGCATGCTACAGTAGTAAATGCATCACTGAATGTCCTGCAGAGAACTAATGCAAATTAGGGGCCTGCGATATTCTGCTCCGCAGGCTCTTATTGTAGGTGGTGGGCTCATGTAGGGATTGTCTTTAAGGTCAGAAGACAGTTTTGTACTTGAATGCCGATCTTTGATTTACAGACAGTTCACCTTTGTGCTTGAGTATAAAAAGATGAAGAAAAAAGTGGTGTTTAAAAAAAAAAAAAAAATAAAAAAAAAAAAATATATATATATATATTTTTAAACTAATTCTTACCTTTATGTTTCCATCAAGCAAGAGATGCTGTACAGGATGGATATAATCATTGCATATTTTTTAAATGCGACGGTTGAATTTGATTCATATGTCTTGTAAATGCGCAAGCTTGGAGAGTGCTTATTTTGTTCATTAACTGTTGAAATTCATCTTTTACTTTTTGGAGGCCATCAGAGTATCTGCAGCAACCCTATTTATGATCCGGCTGCGAGATACATATGAGATGTACACAACCAAGTCTGTTAATAGCTTGTAATGTCAGTTTTACAACCTTTAGAACTTTTTTCTAAAATGCACAGTTTGGTGATATGTTGCGTCTTTGCGTGGATATGGTGCATAACGTAAGAAAAAGATGCCAAATATATTTTGTCTTGATATGTATCTCTCCATATGTGCACCAGAGGACATGTTGAAAAAAAGTTTTTTAAAGGGACACTAAAGGCACACAGGCCACGTCATTTAATTGTTGGTTTCATTACATTACAGAGCTCCCTCTGCAATAACAGTCAGATTTGGTTATCCAGTCAAATACTTATTATAGAGAGTGTTTTGCTGTGCATGTACACTAGCCTCTCAATGCTCCCTTATGTGGAAGCATTGGATTAATGGAGATCCTCAAGATTGATTATCTCAGCCAAGGAAGTGGAACAACCATAGCACACCATGGGATATAAAGCAAGTACAACTTGGATTTTAAATCCACACGAAGTGGGTGGATGTGCAGACAAACACCTGAATAAGTAGGGTAACACTATAGCGTTTGCTTTGTGAAGGAGTTTTAAAAATCCACATTTAGGCCTAGGTGGGGGGACAAGGAACTTTGGCAGTCATTCCTCCACTCCTCCACACTACTTGTTCTGTTTGTTATTCACGAGCAGGTCCAAGCTGACATTTGGATCTCACTAGGAGCTCCACCAACTCCCTCTGTAAATAGCTTTTAAATTCTTTAAATAGGATTTTGAGCCATACAGATTTGTAGAAACAACTCTTTGGATATGGAGATGTGACAATGGTAAATGATTACATTCTATCAGTTCAATCTGTGAACCTGGGGGGAAAAAATCTGAATGCCATTTGTATTTATGTGCTTCTTGCAAAAGTTTAAACTAGAATAGATATAAAATTTTTTGGGTGGTTGTGCATATAAATAATTACCATACAAAATAATAAATTGATTTAAAAAAAGGTAACCAGGAATTCCTTATTCCTTTTACCCTATGCATCTGCAAAAAAACAATATAATACATTGCTGAGAAACTATATGAATAACTTGTTTTTCGTCTGCTAATCAATATGTGGCTCTGAATATAATAACACATGTTGCATTGTGATCTCCTGGCATGATCCAAGTCGTAGATACACCTCTGCACCTCATTCACAATAGCTTTCCATGCTATTCACACAGAGGGACAGCATGCTTTTTAAAAAAAAATTTTCCATTGATTGTATTACGTAGAAAACATTTAACAGCATCAGCGTGTACTTTCTACATATATGGAAATGCCTGACTCACGCATTCTGAATGTACAACTTGGACTGAGCTCTTGAGGTGTGGGTTGAGAATGCACAGTTTGCAGCTCTGCTGATCGCTGCACGAAGCCTGATTTACTTAACCGTGAACTGGACTGTGTATAAACTGATGGCATTCTTTATCATGAGTGAAATGGATCCAGGTGGTTAACCCCTTAAGGACACATGACGTGTGACATGTCATGATT